GAGTTCGATAAATGTTCGATATAATGTTTATGCGCCAAAAGCGGAATGAAACAGCGCGACTCATTTGAAGCGCGCCACTCGGACCGTTGATCAAAGGTCAAAGTGCCGCGCGGCGCGAGCTCACTAGAGCAGATGCGTTTACTCGGTAACACGAGCTCTAAACAGCGCTGTGAGATCCAGTGCTTGAATTCAGCCATGAACACAGTTGACTCAGTGATTTAAACTAGTTTAAAGCCAAACAGGAGAAACACTGTGTGCAACGACACAGTCTTTTCAATCTACACATCGCCATCATTTACCATATAGTTATATTTTTACCATGGCATTGAGGTGCTATATGTGTGGTTTTAACTGTGTTTATCATGATTTAAATGTATGCTACTATGGGAGACCAATGCTTAATAAAAAAAAAAAATAATAAAAAAAAACCTTGGTCAAATTAAATATAACCATATAAAACTGAGGTTGCTACCATTTTTACAGATGTTACTGATTTTGATAATGAACATAAATATACCTCTGCATCCTAACTCAAGCTACTATCAAATGTGCATTTCTAAGAGACAAAACAGTGATATTATTATTAATATTATCAGGCAACCCAAACCTGTTTCTTGATTTGAAACAATAGCACTCATTAGAACATGCAGAAACGAAGAAATAAATTTTTCTATTTAGATATTTATTTTGTTAAGGGAAATTAATGGTCTGGTTTCTACAACTTTCACTTTGGAGCAAAAATCTGGCTTTAAACTTGAAAGAAATAAAGATTTGACATTTATCGTGATAATTATCGATATTGACTGATATGAAAAAAATTATCGGGATAATTTTTTTGGCCATATCTCCCAGCCCTATATATATGTGTATATATATATATGTAATTTTCAGTTTTTAAATATTTGGAAATATAATTTAAATAGATTTCCCACACTTAAAGCAATATCGTATCGAATATCGCATTATTTAACAAGGTATTGCATATCGCATTTTTCTTCAATATCACACAGCCCTAATCAGTTGTTTTGTGCAAAAAATGCAAGATATTTTTTTTTGTTAAATTTCCAGCAAAAATAACTCTTTAGACACATTAACTGTTGTTTACTTCATATATGTGTGTGGTTTTCCCAGTCTTAGTGTTGTATTTGGATCAGTGTTGGGTGTAACTAATTACCAAGTAATTAAAAGTAAAGTAATGGATTACTCTTATTTTTTCTGTAATTTAATTACAGTTACTTCTTATGTAATTTTATAGACTGTAGAACATTTATACACGATGCAATAGTGGATTTAACATCAAAATTGAAAGTCTAACCTTAAAATGCATGCTTTTTATGCACCCTTCTCACTTTAAATACTTTGGTGAGTTAATAAGAATATTGGTAACACTTCAGTTTTGACTCACTATTAACTAGTTTTTATTAGTATGAATATTACTGGGATATTGGCTGTTTATTATTACTTAAAGCACATATTAATGTCTAATTCTGCAAGACCTTATTCTAAATCCTTAATCCTACCCAATTCTTAAACTTAACAACTACTTTACTAAGTACTAATAAGCAGTAATTAGGAGTATTTTGAGGCAAAATCATAGTTAATAGTGAGAATTGGACCCTAATCTAAAGTGTGTCCAGAATAATTGATGTAGTTACTTGAAAGAATTAAAAGAACCGTTTCATGTTTATCCGTGTATCATTAACTCGTCAAGGTTGATATAGGATTTAGAAAGTAATTAGTGGTAAGTAATTAAATACTTTCTGGAGGGAGTAAAGTACATTTTCTGGACATTTGTACAGTAATCTAATTACACTGTTTTTAGATGAGCTTCTCCAACACTGATTTGGATTGTGTTGTGATGAATGGATTGGATTGTGTGCTCTTGCAGGTTTCAGGTCAGCTGGATTTGTCGTATAAAGTCCATCACACGAGGCTTTTCTCCCCGTTGTGGCCCAGCAGCCTCGGCATCACTGACGGCTGTCAGTACTGGTCTGACACACAGACCGCAGCTTCAGGTCAGCTCAACAGTTCACTAATCGCTCTGGATTCCCAGCATGCATGTGTTTAGCTCATAGCTGTATGTTTGCAGAAGACAATCGTCAGTACAGCGCTGAGTTTCTGTGTCAGCTGCGATACTGCCCGGCGGCGTGTGTGCGGCCCGCTGATCTGGAGCTCATACCAGGAGTCACTGACAAAACACCAGGTGATAGACTTACTCTCCTTGTGTCTGGTGCACCAGCTGTGCCTAAGCCTAGGTTTGACGTAAACAGTTTACCAACTATTTAAGCATTGCACCATTAACCTTAGCTAAAACTTAATCTGTGTATGCCATGTTTTCCAAAGAAATAGTTCTTGTCACTTGACGGGTTGTGGCCACTTGCAAAAAATGCTTAGACTCCTAAATAACAGTACAAGTGTTTAGCCAAGAGTTAAAACCTATGAAGGCTGATATTAGATCATTGAAGGTAAACGTCATATATGACTATGCATTACTTCAACACAATGCTTACAACCTACCAGCTGCTTCTCAAGTTTTAAGAGAAAATGGTGCAATAAATACTGAGTTAGTTAAAAATCAACTAGTAGTTACTAAGCCTTTAGTGTGGATTTTACTTTTTTAAGATCTTAAAGGGATAGTTCTCCCAAAAATAGTACTATAGTAATAGTACTCACCCTCGTGTAGTTTCAAACCCTTAAGACCTTCGTTCATCTTCAGAACACAAATTAAGATATTTTTGGTGAAATCTGAGAGCTCTCCATAGACAGCAACACAACTGTAATGTTCCCAGACCCAGAAACGTAGTAAGGACATCGATAAAACAGTCCATGTGACGTCAGTAATTTTATGATGCTACAAGAATTTATGAAGCTCGATTTCATAGAAAATATCTTTATTTGTGTTCCGAAGATAGAATCTTCATTTTTGGGAGAACTATCCCTTTAATATTGCAAACAGCTGATGCGACCCATAACTTCTCACACACTTCTGCATACGTCTGAGGTGTTGGCAATCATGTGTGCTTCCTGAAATATACTCTGTTTTTTACAGGCCCAGAAGACATGGACATGTTTAGTTCAAGGTGAGTTAGCTGGTGTTCAGGAACAGAAGAGTCTTGTCCATTGAACTAACCATAATCCTCATCCATCAAGCAGAGAACAGGCTTTTCCCTTAAAGCTCAGTGATTATGTACATATTTATAATAAACTATCAAATATATATATTTTTTTTCACATCTAATCAAAAGTCTATAATAAGTAATGTTGTTTTGCTAATCATTTTTGATTCAGTTACGCAGTGCATAGTGCCTCAGGGGAAGTACATAGTCTTTTGCATAGCTTTGCCTTTTATTATTATTGCAAATGTGACCCTGGAGCACAAAACCAGTCATAAGGGTCAATTTTTCGAAATTGAGATTTATGCATCATCTGAAAGCTGATTAAATAAGCTTCCCATTGATGTATGGTTTGTTGTATTGATAGGACAATATTTGGTCGAGATACAACTATTTGAAAATCTGGAATTTTATGAAGTAGATGTTTTTTTTTCATCTGGCAGCTGCTTGGTTTGCTTCACAGCTCAGAACTCCTTGATGTGTGAGATGTGTTAAGAGACTGGAGATTCTTGACGAGGTTCCTCATGAAATCTGGTGTTTGGCAGGTTTGGACACACATTGCATCACGCGCTGAGCCTGAGGTCAGCTTACAGTCCTGTCCAGCCCAACACGCAGACGGCTGTGGTCAGCTCTCTGAACTCCGAGGGAGGAGCGATGCTCGACTACATCTTCTTCTCCAGCCACAGGACCGGCTCTGCTGCAGCTGAAGGTGATGCTCGGAGCTGATCAGCTCTTATCTCACATCTGATCATCTGCAAATATCTGCAGCGCCCCTTAAAATGCCGTCTCATCGTGACTGTAAAAGCAGACCAGTGTTATAGTGAACTAAAACTTAAATCATATAAACAATTTTGGTACTTGAAATAAAATATATGTGACCCTGGAGCACAAAAGCAGTCTTAAGTCGCTGGGGTATATTTGTAGCAATAGCCAACAATACATTGTATGGGTCAAAATTATCAATTTTTCTGTTATGCCAAAAATCATTAGGATATTAAGTAAAGATCATGTTCCATGAAGATATTTAGTAAATTTCCTACCGTAAATATATCAAAACTTAATTTTTGATTAGTAATATGCATTGCTAAGAACTTAATTTGAACAACTTTAAAGATGATTTTCTCAGTATTTAGATTTTTTTGCTCCCTCAGATTCCAGATTTTCAAATAGTTGTATCTCGGCCAAATTTTGTCCGATCCTAACAAACCATACATCAATGGAAGCTTATTTATTCAGCTTTCAGATGATGTATAAATCTCAATTTCAAAAAATGTACCCTTATGACTGGTTTTGTGCTCCAGGGTCACATTTATTAAAATAAAAAGACACTTATTTTATTCCAGCTAGTTAACAAGGCAACATTTCTTATTTTCCATTAGTTTAACTTCAATTACTAAAATAACTAAAACTGAAATAAAAATTAATAAAAGCTACATAGACATTAACAAACAGCAAAAACTGATAAAAAAAAAAAAAAAAATAAAATATATATATATATATATGTGTGTGTGTGTAAAATATATTCAAATTAAAAATATAAACAAAACTATAAAAGAGTTTTAATGATACTAAAATAACACTGAATCAAACATCATAATTCTCACATTATCTGTTAACAATGTAGCAAAAAAAGCACATTGCTAAGGTCTCTAAATGATCAACATGATCAACCTTTGCTGTTAAATGTGTTCCTCAGCGGAGGAATGATCTTCACAAGCCTCCAGAACATCTCACATCTTCTGAGGAGCTGGATGGATTATCTCGGCAAAGGAGAAGTGCTCACTAACACAGATTTAGACAGATTTGTGAACAATATTTGAGAGAAATAGGCCTTTTGTGTACATAGAAAAAGTCTTAGATCTCTGAGTTCAGCTCATGAAAAATAGGGGCAAAAACAAAAGTGTTGCGTTTATAATTTTGTTCAGTATAGATCACTTTATGTCAGTATCTGCTGCACAGTTATAAAGATCTCACTGATTTACATTACAAGCAGCAGAATTTCAGCATCATTTTAAATATCAGAATTGCACATTTTTGCTCAATTAAGCTGTGTTTTCCTCCATATTCTCACTATATCAGACTATATGAGCCATCAAAGCCTGATGGAGCACATTTGATACTCTGCAAATAAATCGGTTGTGTTGACAGAGAGCGCTGCGGGGTTGAAGCTGCTGGGTCGTTTGTCTCTGCTGTCTGCGGCTGATCTCTGGTCTCTGCGAGGACTTCCTAACGAAGCGTTCCCGTCTGATCATCTCAGTCTGATCGTCAAGCTTCAGCTTCCTCCCGTCTGACCCGAACATTTGACAAATGTAAGGATTGCTTGTCTTTATCATTCATTTTCATTGCCTTACAATTGGATTGTGAAAGAAAAAAAAAATGTTGGTCAGGTGAATATTTTGTTTTCTGTTCAGTAACAGAGCGAGTGTTTGCACGTGTGAAATATTCTCCAGCGTGATGTTTGATGTGAGGAAATACGATGCACCGTTTATGATTGACATGTTCATGATAATGTAATCAGAATGCACTTACATGCATTTATTAGTTTTCAGTTTGTTTCTTTTGGTTTTGAATTTATATTTTGAACTGAGCTAAATAAATAACTACATGCATTGCTCTCGTTTTTGCTGATTGAACACATAAAAAGAAGAAAATGAAGATGCACACTCCGTTATGGACATCTAATGACAGTCCTTCATTTGAAAGAATCTGAATGTGTTCTCTTAAACGGATGAGGGGTTTGTACATGCACATCATATGTGCTGCGGTCAAGCTTTACAGTACATTCATGAGAAAGTTGAAAACAATAGCTTTTTCTTCAATCTCAGTGAAATGAGGTTCGCAGAAGGTCAAAGTAATTCACAGCTAAAACCATGTTCATCCTCACTGCAAGAAAAGCTCGGCTGGAGCAAAAACACCAAAATGAATAAAAAATATATTTATAATCAAATTGAGTAAGTTAATAACTGGTAAAACTTTGCAGTAAGATTCTATGTGTTAACATTAGGTAACTACATTACTTAACATGAACTAAAAAAAAGCATCTGAAGCATTTCTTCATCTTCAAGTTGTAATATTTTTATTAATATTATTTAATGAACCTGAACTAATGTGAACTACTGTATTTTTAACAAATGTTAACAAAGATTAATACATACTTATAGTATTTACTCATTGATAATGTTAAAGCATTAACTAATAGAACCTTATTGTAAAGTGGTTACATTGTTTTCTAAATGCATGCATTACATTAAAAAATGTAACATTGATGCATATGTTAGAAAATACTTTCATAATCTCACTTTTACATTGTTTTGCTATTTAACTATTTGTTGTTTACTATTTTTGTGATATGTGTCCCTGCAGCACAAAAGCAGTCTTAAGTCGCTGGGGTATATTTGTAGAAATAGCCAACAATACATTGTATGGGTCAAAATGATTGATTTTTCTTTTATGCCAAAAATCATTAGGATATTAAGTAAAGATCATGTTCCATGAAGATATTTTGTAAGTTTCCTACCGTAAATATATCCAAACTTAATTTTTGATTAGTAATATGCATTGCTAAGAACTTCATTTGAACAACTTTAAAGATGATTTTCTCAATATTTAGATTTTTTTGCACCCTCAGATTCCAGATTTTCAAATAGTTACATCAATGGAAAGCTTATTTATTCAGCTTTCAGATGATGTATAAATCTCAATTTTAAAAAATTGACCCTTATGACTGGTTTTCTGCTCCAGGGTCACATATATGCTTATAATATTTTGTATGTTGTAGCACTTTAATCTGGAGTATAATGAGTAAGATGTCACACGACGGAAACATGTTTCTCGTTTGACAAAAACAAATTATAGGCAATTTATTGTACATTTCAGTTTCAAGTGTCACAAAAGAGCCATTGAGTGTTTGAAAGACATTCAGTGCCGTGACGTCAAAGTGAAAAATCAACAATAGCAACATCTGTTAATCACACACAGTTAGTTAATCATGTGGCAGGAAGCTGTTCTAATGAAGAACATTTAACAGCACCAGCATCAGTGTCTTCTGCTCACATCAGAATCACACTAGTGCACTTCATAGTGTCTCACAACAAGTGTGTTTGGCTTTAGTGTGTAAGTGTGTGTGTCTACTGTATGAGAACATCTGCTAATGAAACAGACTGTTACACATCTACATCACGCTACTCCTAAAGTCAACATGAAATGATGCTCACAGTCACAACACATTACGAGGTATTCAACAGAGAAATCAATGAATGATAGTTGGTTGATCATTATGAGAAAGTGACTTCAGAGGAGGAGCAAGTCCTATTTTGATGAAAGATTATGAAGACAAACATTTAGGCTATTTCTGTAGAATGTTATGCACTGATGAATTATTTAAGAGCAGGAACATGAATTCAAGTCAATTTCATGTTGACTTTAAAAACGTGGATGCGTGTAATTGAGCATCCTATCTTTTAAGAGTTAAAAAAATCTAAAAACCAACAGGGGTGAGGGCTGCATTCATAACTACTGAACCCTGTATATTCTGCAACATCTGCAACATCATTTACATACACGCATGTCCATTAAAGTGGCCATGATCAGTACTGAAGCCATCAGAAACACCAGACAGATTCACCAGTGGGAGTGCTTTTGCTCTTTCAAAGCCAAATATTTGCTCTGTTGTAGTTCAGGTTGGAATCACTGGTGAAACCTGATGACTAAAGAAGAAAAGTTCAATACTGTAAGTGTCGCTAAGTGCAAAAATGTGTCGGGGAGGATGAACTGCTCGTATTATTATAGATGTTATAACAACACTGCAAAAAAAAAAAAAGAAAAGATTTTCTTCTGTATTTTTGTCTTGTTTTCCAGTGCAAATATCTAAATGTTCATATATCAAGATGCATGTACAGGGCTCGAAATTAACTTTTTTACTTGGTAGCAAAGTTAGGAGCACCACCAAAAATGAATGAGCACCAACTACAAATTATATATTAACATATTTCATCTTTACATTCTTAACTTTAATGCAGATTTTAGATTGGTTAATATTAGCTGATAATCACCCAGTCACTGCTTTCCGCTGTCAGGTAATATAATAATTAATATTAACCCATCTAAAATCTGCATTAAAGATAAGAATGTAAAGATGAAGTTATGTAACGTTTGATAGACCGGCAGACAGGTCACCGTATCAGCACACAGAAAGCACATAACTGTGAACGTTTTTAGAGAAATGAAAACAGGTCGCACTACAACAATTATATGCACTCGCACAAATGCTCCCAAATATATTTTGAGGTCGCACAGATTCAATTATGGGAGCATATGCAACCAAAATGGTCCCAATTTCGAGCCTTGGTGTACTCTAGAAACTAAATGAAACTGAGTCTTGTTTTCTGAAAAATGCATGAAAATGAAGTGAGTTTGTTCAAAACAAACAAATATTTGCCAGCATGCTCAGAAAAATAAACTGCATTCAAAGGGAAAGCTAGATTAAGAGCATGAAAATTGTCTTTCTTTTCTTGTTCTGTTTTCCATTAAAATGATCTAAACATTCTTCCATCAAGATACATTTACTAGAGGCTCAAAACAAGAAAACTAAACATTTGACCCCAGTGACAATACTTTTGCTTTGCTTTTTTTTTTTCAGAAAACAAGACTCAAAATCAAGTCGTTTTGCTTCTAAAGAAAAAGTATCTTGAATGATTTAGAAATGTTAAGACTATACTGGAAAACAAGGCAAAAATACTGAGCCAGAAAATCATTGCAGTCCAAAAACTGATCAAAGGCACCAATAAATGGACTACAGGCTATCCTCTACATCAGTGTCTAGTAGTGTTAAAGGTTAACTTGCACTGTATTTACAGATTAAATATGAAAAGTTGCTCACAGCAGAATGAACAGCTGAGGCATAGTATTAAAATGAATATAAATATGATGCATTGTTCATAATGTGGCTATTCTACTAAATGAATGATTAGAGGAGGTGTTCGTGTCTACCCTTATAAGTGAACACATTCTCTGTGTAGCAAGATACTTCTTCAAGTGAACACACATCTTCATCCTCTCATGGCTGCGTTTCAGTCTTTGTCTCGTGAATCTCAGACCCTGATCTGGTATCCGTTCACATCAGCCGCGGGCCCCGCCGGCCCGGACCGCTTCTCCACTGACAACCTGTGAAAACAGCACCACCTGTTGGTCAGATGATGTGTTGTAACTGTATCAGTGTTGTGAATGATCTGTAAGTACCGTCTGTCGCTTTGGCTGTTCTTGCGCATCGGGCTGCCTGGGTTCCTCAGAGGAGATCCCATATCCTTCTTTCTGTCTTTAGACGGTGATGGTGGAGCAGCTTTACCAATCTGAAACACAGAGCTCAGTCAACCACTAAACACAATGCATGTGGTGTGATTATTAACATAAGACATATGAAATAATCTAATTATTTGAAATGGAACAGTTTATTGAACCTTTAGACAAAATATATATTTAAAAAAATCCATGTTCATTCATTTGAGACTGACTGATTTTTCAAAAAAAAAGTGTTTTAATTGCAATGCAAGTCACTTTGGATAAAAGCATCTGCCAAATGCATAAATGTAAATGTTAAATGACTCATGGTGGCGTTTTTCAAAGAGGCTTTTATGAACAAAATATGCAAAAAAAAATTAATCAAAGAAGATCCCAGTATCCAGAAAATGTGGGTACAAACAAAATGGCAGTGGGATGTCCTGGTTGTGTTTGGAAGGAGGTAGATTAGCACCAAATTAACCATTAGTGTGAAATGTTCATGCTACCTGGCAGATATCACTAAATAAGTGTTTTATTTTCATCTCTCGTCTAGTACTACTTGATTTTGGCGCTGCCCTTGACACCAAAGATCATGTCATTCTCTTGGACAGATAAGAGAATTACATTTGGACAAGCATTAAGATGTTTGTATTTTCACCTGCCACTTTGTTTACAAGAGGAACAGTCAAATCTAACACAAACTGAGTATGGAATGCCACAAGGCTCTGTATTAGGTCCATTTTGCATTTACCCAAAATGTATTTTAAATGCTGGATGACAAGTCTTATCTAAAAGCTTTAAGCAACATGACACTAAGTTCTAGGTGTTATTTTAAATATTGTGGCAGTCTGAAAACATGTTTGATTTATCAATTAGGCAGGTGACAGGAAACTCTCTTTCACGATTTCCACAAATCTATTACAAACCTGCTGGAGTTCACAGACATCATTAATCTGTGGATGTCACAGAACTTTTTACTACTAAATAAAGGTAAGACAGAGATACTTGTTTTCAGAAATTATTCAAAGATAGTCTTTTAGATCTAGACTTCATCAGTGAGGGCTAATTATCACGTCATTTAGTTATCATGTCTAACAACAGTCTCAGATTTAAAAACCAAAACAGCATAGTATCACCTTGCAATATCTCTAAAATGTGTTACTGTTTTTCCTTCTCAACACGTAAGGCTGGTAAAGTCACAAACTATCATTAGATTTTTAGGAATTAACTGGCAAGACAACCTACAGAAGTGCGATAAAAGTGTTTGGGAAACCTGTTTGTAAATAATAATTTTTGCAATTCAATTTGGCGCAGCACACACGTCACCTTTACATTTGCTGAAAGCATGTCATTTCTGCAACAAATTTCTCTGATACTGGTCAGGCAAATTTTCTGTGAGCTATTCCTTATAAAATCACTGATAGCACCTTTGTTTCTGAGCAGCCAAGAACACACAATTTTGTACTGTCAGCAGTATTATGATTTAACCGTAGGCGTATCATCCGTACCTTCAACCTCATATCCCGAGTGTGTCTCTCCAACTCTTTCCTCAGCTCTTCTTTGGACAGCTTGTCCACGTCCAGCACCGAATGCTTCCACTCAATCTGCTCCACGCTGTGTGGGTCGTGTGACACATAATGACCGATCTTGACCTTGCACAGTGTGTGCCAGTATCTCCGATAGGCCACCTGGAACTCTTGAAGGAGGTCCGTGAGTGTTTTGTACTCCAGCGGTTTGTACATCAAGTCCTCGCGGCGGCTGATGCCCAGAGCACCAAAGCGGCCGCCGCTGTGGACACCCAGCACAATGTGACGGAAATGACTCCCTGAGAACTGTGTTTTAAAGCTGAGAGGAAACCGCTCGACGGTCGGCATGCTGTTGGTGAGGTAACTGAAGCGTCAGCTGTGTTAAGGGAGTCAATGGTAATATATTCAACAGACAGCTGTGTACATTATCAGCAAGTACAGGGGAAGTGTTAAAGTCAGCATGAAATGAAAATCTACTTTCTAAATGCATGCTATAGATGTCAATGTGAAAGATTTATCCATATGTTTCATTAAAAAAATTAAAAAAGCCTACCATCAATGTCCAGTTCCAAATTAATCAACATTTTAAGCTATTGTTTTCATATTTAAGAACGATCTAATCATCATCAGAATGTTTTCACTCCTGTTTTATCTAGTTTAGTCTTTATTCTGCCAGTACCATTCAAGACTGTCTGACAGAGAAATTTTCTGGACCCAGCAGGCAATAATCTTTACAAATCTGTCTAAGCCCTTAATTCTGGACATCTCCAGGACACCCAAGAAATCCTCTTGTTGCCTACATCCTTCTTTCGTTCACTAAAATGTTTAGAAGATTACTGAAAGACTAAACTGGATTCTGAACTTATTTTGATCATCCAGTAACATAAGTTAATTATAGACCCATCCCAAATCCTCCATTTATGCCAGATATTTTGGGTTTAGATCAGAATTTAGCCATAGCACAAAGACTAAACTTGTCATAAGTTAATTTTATCACCTGATTGGGGTTGCATCTCACTTCTAGTACTATTCAATTGCTGCCTTTGACACCAAAGATCATGCCATTCTCTTGGACAGATAAGAGTATTATATAAACATTTGTGAACAAGCATTACGATGTTTCTCTGATTGCTACCACTTTTTGTGAAAGATGAACTGTCAAAACTAACAAATTAAGTATGGAGTTCCACAAGGCTCAGTATTAGGTCCTCTGTTGTTTTCATTTTATGAAAAACTTTAATGGGAAACAACCAATTTGTTTCCATTGTTAAGCTTATGACAGCTCTATATTTACTACATACTCTGTATAGAAGTTAGTGGAGTGTATTTTGTATGATAAAACATATAAACATTATTGTCCAAATGAAAAGAAAAAAAAAATCCGTAAGACTAGATAATTGCAATGCATTACTTGCTGGATGTCCTTCAGTAATAAGATCAACTGGTTCAAAATGCTGCAGCAAAAGCTTCTACCAAAACCAAAATATAATTTGATAATTTCAGTCTGATCTGAACAGTTTAAGCAGCACTTTCAGTCCAGATTGTTTTTGAATATCACATCTGAAGCAGATGCTATTGAACAATGGAGAAATTCAAAGCTAGACTGAACCAACCACAAACACAACTCGTATGAGTGCAGCTATTACACTTTTCATATGCACAAATGTATAAAAAAATTAATATGCTATTAAAATGTTAATATTTTCAATCCAGTTCAAGTGAAGGATACATCCCGAGGATAACGGCTTCCAAACATTTAATTGGTAGAGATTCTCTTGTCATTTCCTTGGCAATGTCCATCAATCTGAAAAACACATTGTAGGTAATAATGCAATAAGAGTTTGTATGCAAGTGAGCCTGAAATATTTTTAAAAGATGAAAATTAAAATGAATGAAAAGTATTCTGGAAAATATTCTCCTAATAAGGTCTATTAATAATAATCAAAAGTACTGAATATAGTAAGCTAACAGCATGACTTTGCTTTAATTGAAGGATACAGCTTTAAGAGTAAAGACAGATAAGTGGACGGGTCTTACGCTGTGAGCGGCCTGCTCTTCTTGATCTCAAAAAACTGTGTTCCAGTGTGATTGTATCTGACAGACAATGTTAAGCACAGGACACTGTCAGGAGACAAACAATGCACTATATAAAGTCAAAGTATAAAGTCAACCACTACATCAAAGTTTACAGAAAATAACCTATATTATGAGTGAAATATATCATGAGAATTATTCTGAATATATATACAGAGAAAAATGTCATGTAACAAATCATTGTGACATACATTGGGCCAAACCAACAGCACACACAATGTTTCATTGTTCTTGACATTTTCTGATATTTCAGCTGTCATCATCATCATCATCATCAATGTAACTCCTGTGGCCTAAATTCCATCTGCCTACAACATAACAATGAGCTGAAATCACTGATAAAATGTAATGGACAACAATCGCCAAACCCAAAGTCTTTGTTCACTGAAACCATGTGTCTTTCTGCTGTCAAATCTTGACTGGTTTTTATCAAGTAAGCGTCAGAATAACTGCAGTAATATCTCCAGATGAACTCTTACTGGACTGAAGCAGCTCAGCTTTACTTGATTCTCCATCAATCATGTTTTAGAGTCTCAAATATGATCCTCAGGATCTTCTGAAGAGCGTTTGTTTCCAGAAGCTTTACTTTCACTGTTCCTCAGCGGAGGAATGATCAATAAACTATTCTATTTAAAAAAAAAATTCATGTTTTTTGAATCATGACTTCAAAAAACTTGAAATATAAGTTATATTTTATGTTTTTAGCTCAATGTTTTTTTTTCTTTGTTCTTTTTGGAGTTTGGTAGCATAAACCACCATCCACTTTTAAAGGCACAATATGCAATTTTCGCCGCTAGAGGGCGCGTATTCAAAATAAACAGAGACAAAGGCGTAGTTAGATGACGCTGTGACTGAGTGTGGAATCATGGGAGCTGTTGTCTTCATCCCCACAGCCGATGCAATCCGACGGGGCTCGAGCAGAAATCATGTTCATGGATGAGCTAATGATTTATTAACGTAGTAGCATGAAGCAGCGTGAGGCTGAAAGCCGTCGAAGCGAAACGAGTAGTGATCGACCGATATTGATTTTTTTATAACCGATACCGATACCAATTATTTGCATGTTTATGTGCCCGATAACCGATATGCAGAACCGATATTTATTTACTGTTATAAAGTAAATAAATGACTGAGTGAAGTAAGAACATACTTCACTTTGGTTTTTCCTCTTTTCAGTCATCTTTTTTTTTATAAGTGTTGAAAATTAGATGTTTATTAGCGAAATAATGATTATATAGTAAATGTTAATACAATTTAGGGTGTTTTAAACAAGTGAATCTTGTTAAAAGTTACATGCGGTGGCCGTGTCAAAACAAAACCGGAAATCGAGGGGTTATGACGTCATCAGCAGGCGACACAATGACACTATAGACACGCTCCGTGTCACTAGTTAAAATTGCTTATTTCTCTGGATTTAAACATTCTTCGAAACATTTGGGATCATTTAAGTACACAAGTCAGCAAAATATATAAAACTGTTCTAGTGGTTTTTGGATATTTTAATAAAAAAATCTTACATATTGTGCCTTTAATTACATGATTTTTTTGGGTGAACTATTTCTTTAAATAAATTATCTACAGCGTCAGTTCATGCTGACTGATTCCTGACCAGTGTTCATGATAGTCTGGACCAGTGTAATACTGCAGTAGTGAACTATTTACAGACATGTTATAAAGTTCATACAGCATACAGCAACAATATGAAAACGTCTGATTGAAGGACATAAAGTGACTGTAAATTGTGGCAAGAGGAGCAGCGTCAGCACATTGATGTCCCTCCTGAAAGACGAGTGTGAAAGGATACTGCAAGTCCCTGATGTATCTCTGTATGGCTTCCAGGCGCTGGGGAATACTGCTGTTGGGCTGGAATGTAGGCACACTTGGTACTGGAATCTAAAGAGTTAAAGAAGAGTTAACAGCTGGACAATGATATCACGCATGTGTTAGGATAGGACAATATTTGGCTGAGATACAACTATTTGAAAATCTGGAATCTGAGGGTGCAAAAAAATCTAAATATTGAGAAAATCATCTTTAAAGTTGTCCAAATGTTATTTTACATGACTCCGTGAGTTGGTCTCTATTTCTTAGAGCCAAGCTGCATAAACTACATATCAGGAATTTATGTAATGCATCTAATTTGTGCATAAATGGCTGTTATGTTAAATAAAGTTTACTAACTACAGCAAATCAAGTACCTGCACCATGCCGTTGTTGTTGCCTCGTCTCCCCTCAGATGCGCTGCAATGGCGATCCTGCGCGCAATTCTCAAAACACCCACAAGATGGCGGCGTTTATCGGTGAATCCGATATTACAAAACCGATATCCGATTATGGTAAAATGCTTAAATATCGGGAAAAATATCGGTAAATCGATATATCGGTCGATCTCTAGAAACGAGGCGCTGAACGAGCATGACACACGGCTGGAAAGCAGCGGAGCTTTTATTATGCCACAGTCGAGCGCTTCCGCTGCTTCCGGTCGTGCGTATGTGGGGTAAAGCAGCGCTGTTTTATCATACTAGATACATTTAGTTCTGTTATAATGCTACTCTGTGCGCTCGTCACCGGTCTAATAAAACACAACATATTAAAGCGTCTTTGGTGTTTCCATGTTTTCTTCAAAACAAAACCGGAAATCGAGGGGTTATGACGTCATCAGCAGGCGACACAATGACACTATAGACACGCTCCGTGTCACTAGTTAAAATTGCTTATTTCTCTGGATTTAAACATTCTTCGAAACATTTGGGATCATTTAAGTACACAAGTCAGCAAAATATATAAAACTGTTCTAGTGGTTTTTGGATATTTTAATAAAAAAATCTTACATATTGTGCCTTTAATTACATGATTTTTTTGGGTGAACTATTTCTTTAAATAAATTATCTACAGCGTCAGTTCATGCTGACTGATTCCTGACCAGTGTTCATGATAGTCTGGACCAGTGTAATACTGCAGTAGTGAACTATTTACAGACATGTTATAAAGTTCATACAGCATACAGCAACAATATGAAAACGTCTGATTGAAGGACATAAAGTGACTGTAAATTGTGGCAAGAGGAGCAGCGTCAGCACATTGATGTCCCTCCTGAAAGACGAGTGTGAAAGGATACTGCAAGTCCCTGATGTATCTCTGTATGGCTTCCAGGCGCTGGGGAATACTGCTGTTGGGCTGGAATGTAGGCACACTTGGTACTGGAATCTAAAGAGTTAAAGAAGAGTTAACAGCTGGACAATGATATCACGCATGTGTTAGGATAGGACAATATTTGGCTGAGATACAACTATTTGAAAATCTGGAATCTGAGGGTGCAAAAAAATCTAAATATTGAGAAAATCATCTTTAAAGTTGTCCAAATGAAGTTCTTAGCAATGCATATTACTAATCAAAAATTAAGTTTTGATATATTTACGGTAGGAAATGTACCAAATATCTTCATGGAACATGATCTTTACTTAATATCCTAATGATTTTTGGCATAAAAGAAAATGTATAATTTTGACTCATACAATGTATTGTTGGCTATTGCTACAAATATACCCCAGCGACTTAAGACTGCTTTTGTGCTGCAGGGTCACATATATATCAGCCATTGAATCCACATCAGCTGAGCAGTAATGGTGACAGTGCGGTCTGGATCTGGGTTCAGCTGAACTCACTGGATATTGATTAGATGCATCTGATCCGATCAGTCCACAACAAGGGACGAATTAAAGAAATAAAGCCAGTAAGACAGATGGAAAGCAGTCTACAAACTGCTGGGATATTACTGATACCACTAATAAAGTGCTGCAGGGATGCGGTCTTTTTATAGGCCAAAACCCGGAAATTAGTTCTAATTTTAGCACTCCTGGTTCCATCGTCGATTCGTTTTTTGAATGGGTTTTGGGTTAAATGCCTAATATAAGGTCTGTGGTGAACATAAGCTCAAGATATTTTCATGTTTTATTCCACAACATTAAATACATAAGTAAAACCCCCTTGAGGTGGCTAACAAGTGTCTAAATGGGACAAGAAGTTGTCAGGACATTAGTCTTCTACATAACATTAGTCTTGGACATTTACTTATACTTAGGCTTCAAAATTCACAAAATCTCATGAAGATTATGATGAACAAACTTTTGTTGGACACGGAGCTTACTTTCTGCTATAGTCCAAAAGGCAACAGAAAGTTCCAGTTGGGTTTTTGTGGATGGAAGCAGGGTGATGTGACCTTACAGGACTATATACAAAAACACATCATCTCTGCAGTGCTGTATTATGAACACAGTCTGAGAACACTAGTGGAAATGTTTCCGTTTGTTTCCATCATTGTAAGATTTAGAATAGGATCATGAATGTCTTAGTATTTGTTGTGTCTCTCTTTTGCTTCAATGACAGCAGCACTAGAGCTTCTTAAGCAAAACCTGATCGTATCCTTTGTCTGAAATATTTCAAAAACCTTTTCCAAGTTTTTCAATGAGGTCTCAGACTTTTGGGCCTTAATGTATTTAAATGCCCATGAGTAAAACATCTTAACGTTGAATGCGGTTATGTAATCAGATTACTTTTTTTAAATAACTAGTAAAGTAACACATTACTTTTTAATTTAGAAGGAAATATCTGAGTTACTTTTTTAAAATAAGTACGGTTACTTTGTTTCCATGTGTTGAGTGACAGCTCTGGTGTTGCCATGGTGACAGAAATCAGGAGTAAGTGCAGAGTGTTGTGTGTGAACATGATCTTACTGTAGTTCTAGACTAAATATCAACATGTGTTTACTCATCTCACTGCACACAAACTCATTCAGTGTTCCTCATAATTAATAAAAACAGTCAAATGCAAACTCAGAATAGTCTACAAACCTGCAATAATTAAATATGTTCAATTAGACAAAATATCATTTTTGTATTTAATCCCATTTTATTAACCAATGTTTTTGCTACTGACCTTCGATGATCCAATTCAACCATACTAAGCAAAAATGACATTTGTGTTTCTGCTGAATAGTGTTGAACTTGTGTCATATTCTTCATGCGATTAGTTTGAGCTGCGCCCTCTACTGTACAGATGTGGATTTACATTTCCTTCAGCCTGAGACATATTAATTTCACTTCTGTTGTGAAAGGGCTTTTACATTTGTAAAAGATGATCTTTTTATATTAACGACAAACAAGCAAGCCCCGCCCAGATTTAAAAAGTAACTCAAAAGTAACGTAACGCATTACTTTCCATAAAAAGTAACTAAGTAACGTAATTAGTAACTTTTTTTAGGGAGTAAAGCAATATTGTAACGCATTACTTTAAAAGTAACTTTTCCCAAGACCTACAGATCTATTTTCTTTATTAATACCCACGTTAAAAATAAGTACTCTTTCATAATGTACTTAAAGTGCTCTATTTTCGCGCACTAGTTTTAGACTTGGTATGCTAAAATGATTCTTTAGTACCTCCTAAGTTAAACTTAAAAACATCTCAACTGTGCTATTTTGGGACACCATGAATATGCACTAAAATGTGTTACTATCTCTGTATTTAAAAAAATGTATTTAGTCACCACGTGTAGTACACTTGAGTGTACTAGTGTATGAAAGACGGGTTCTACAAGTGCTAACTAAATATGTTTTTTTAAATTCTTTTGGACTGATGCATGCAACACCCGCTGACCGCCATTAAACAGCTTGAAAGATCAAAGACTATTTTTAATATAACT